GAGCGGGGCAGGCAGTACACGAAGGCGTAGTTCAGGACGTAGCGCTTCAGCTCCTCGGTGGGGAAGCCGTCGGCGTGCCTCCAGGCGCAGCGCAGGGCCTGGCGCCAGGTGCTCATCTCCGGCGTGCGCAGCTGGCCGATGTAGGGCACCGCTTCCGTGGCGTCCTCCGGGTTGCTGGTCCAGGGGCAGAACAGGAGCAGGATCTTCATGATGTGCTCCTCCTCGCTGTGGCTGCCGAGCGCGCCGTACAGCACCGGCACGTGGGGTCGCTTGCGTGGAATGATCACCCAGTCGTGGCGATGCCTCTGAGCTGAGCTGCCCTTGCCCAGCGGCATCCAGTCCTCGCCGCCTTCCTCCCGGATCAGGTAGTCGACGCCGCCTTGGAGCGCGCTGCGACCTTGTTGTCGTCTCAGCTTTGTCGTGCCGCTGTCCGTCAGCAGGGCGTGGTAATAGATGTCTTTCTGCCCGCGAGCCAGGGCGGCCTCGGCGCGTTCCTGCTTCTCCGCCGACCAGGGGTACCTGGCATGATCGATGTGGTGGTACCTCACGAACTCGAAGGCCGAGAGAGGCCGGACGCGAGGGTCGGTTCCGCGGTTCCCGTAGACGGTCCACAGCTGCGGCCGGGCGACGACCTTTCTCTTGTTCGGAGCGTCGCAGTTCCTGCTGAGGTCGCTCTCGAGCTTTTCTCGATCCTGCCACGGCCGGCCTTCGATGACCGCTCGCAAGAGCTCCATCCCGGTCTTGAGGGACATGTCCGCGACCTGGGCGGTCTTGATGGTTTCCGCCGCCGTGGGGTCGTTGCTGCCGGCGTTGTCGATCAGGTTCGCGCACTCCACGGAGCCGCGGACGACGCCGCGGGCGAAGGCGTCGGTCATGAGGCGCTTCGAGACTCGGGCGCCCACGTAGCCGCTGGAGGGGTTGTTCTGCAGCTCCGCTTGCAGATCGTTTTGGCTCTTCTTCCACTCCTGGACTTCGTTGACGGCGATGGGATTGCGCTTGTTGCTGTAGTCGCAGGCGTAGCCCGCCTGCGCGGCCTGGTTCACCTGGGCCTGCTGGGTCATTTCGCGCAGGCTGGCTTGGGCCGGGCAGTCCTTGTCGCAGTGTCCGGACAAGGCGTGGAGGTCCTCCGTGATCGGGAAGCGATAGGGCACCTGCACGTCGCCGTTGCAGCGGAGGGCGGCCAGCAAGGCGGGGTGGTTGCCGTTGAGGTTCGGGTCGTTGCAGGGCCCCCACAGGCGACCGAGAGCGCTGCGCTTGCCCTTCACGGGCATGCCCATCTTCTCTGCCAGGCCTTGGCACACCAGCGTCGTCGTGTCGGTCAATTGCATCTCGCGCGGGAAGCCCGACTTGCACTTGGTGGGGTCCTTCTTGTCGCGGCAGTGATCCAGCGGCAGACGCGGGCCGTCCGGTTTCTTGGGCAGGTGCACGTGGTGCTGCTTCAGCTGCTGCAGGGCTTCCACGTCCTCGTCCAGGAAAAGCCGCCGCCAGGTTGTATCGTCCATGGACGCGTCGGCCTTCTGGTAGTCCGGGCGGCTCAGGGCCAGGAGGGAGTCGCGGTAGGCGGGCCACTTCTCCTCCGTTTCCTGGCGCTTGTTTTCCCATTCTTCTGGATCCCGGTAGATGGTGCGGCTGACGTGGGCGGTGTACGTGCAGTACTTCTGGAAGAGGTCCATCTTGTGCTCCGGGTTCAGCGCGAGCAGCTCCGAGAGGGATTTGAACTGGTGGAAGCACTGGAGGAAGAGCTGCGGGCAGGGCAAGCATGCGGCCGTGGTTTCGGTAACGTGTCTCTTTTTGTGCCTCGATGAATCTAGAGATTGCTGGTTCTCTCGCTGTTCGTGCGTGCGTGTGTGTTTGTTGTGTGTTGCTGGTCTAGTTGTTGTCTGAGGAGAGCGGGCCTGAAAGTGGATGTGCAGCACTCCGGACTTCTGGCACTCGATGGAGCCGTAGGCGGCGTCGAGTCGGCCGAAGATGCCCCCGCACGCCATGGCGTTGCTGCCGAACGCGTCCGTGCAGGGATTGGCGGAATTCCCGCAGTCGGGGCACTTCGGGCAGTAGCGGACGCCGAAGAGGTGCCGGAGCGCCAGCTGCACCAGGATGCGGAAGCCGTCCGCGCAGGCCACGGGGTCTTTGGTCAGCATGGCTCGCCGCTCGTCGTAGGGCGGCAGCTCCGCGGCGAGTGCTTCCGGGTTCAGGCTGTAAAACTCCACGTCCAGCTCGGGCTTGCTGCGGCTCTGTGCGGCACGGTTGGTCTGGGACTCCTGGCTGAGGCTGGGGTCGGATTGCCGGGCGCGGGCCAGGCGCAGCATCACCGTGTTGTCTCGCTCGGACGGGGAGAAGGTCACGAAGAGCGGGGTGCCGTGGCAGACCCGATTGGCGTGGGTTTGGTGGCGCATGGTCGTGCGCACCTCGTGGGTGCCGGGGGTGTTCCGGCTGCGCGCCACCGTGTTGTCCAAGACCTGCGGCTTTTTATGGCTTTTGTTACATCATTATAAGGGTCCCGAGCCTACGTATGCAAGTTTTATTTCCCGGTTGTACTATAGTCTTTACCTGCAGCTTCTGTTGGTGTCGTCGGTTGCAAGCTGGGCTCTGGCAGTGGTTTTCCTGTTTTGCGCGCCTTCACGGCTGCCGGCTGCAGTCCGGTGGCGAAGCGCACCTTGCTCAGGTCTCCGTTGATGGCCTTCGTCTGGCCGTTGACGTCGAGGTACTTCCCTTTGACCAGCTCTTTCTGGATTTGCTTGCCGCCGTCCAGGATCTCTTGGCTGGTCAGTGCTCTGCGTCCGTTGTTGTCGTCGGGGACGCTGTAGATGAAGGTGTTCTGCTGCAGGTTCACCATGGTCCTGAAGAGGTAGTTCCAGAGGGTGAAGCCGAAGGTCCAGTCCCGCCGGAATTGGGTCTCGGCTCGACGTTGCATGGCCGCCGCCCACGCGTGGATTTCCACTTGGGGGGCTTCGGGGTTCCTGCTCCTCCGCCGTTGCTGCCGGTCGTTGCGGGCTCCCTGCTGGTTATTCTTGACGTCGGGACAGGCGGTGCCGTGCGCGAAGCAGAAGCTGAAGGCCGTGGCGAAGTAGAGCGGCTGGAACTGGTCCACGAGCATGTTGCTCGTGCGCACCTCGTAGGTCTCCAGGATCTTCTCGTTCTTCTGCTTGCTTCGGAGTTGGTCCTCGAGGTCGTTCAGGGCGGCCGTGGCCACGGCGGTCTGATCCTCTCGGTCTTGGTTGCAGCCTTCCGGAAGAACGGCGCGGGCGCGCTGGTTGGCGAAGATGGTGCCGGCTTGCTGCACGTCTTGTTCCGGGGCGTCCGTGGGGGCCGCCGCCTTCTGCGGCTGCAGTTTGTGGCTCGTCTCGTCCTCTTCTCTCATGCCGTGGATGCCCTTCAGCACCTCCGGGGGCACGCCGCCCTCCGGCAGCTGTGCCGCGGCCTCGCGCACGGCTTCTTGTCGCAGGTGCTGAAAGGCGGGGTGGCCCAGGCGTTGCATGTCCAGGATGAGGTTGACGACCACTTCCCTCCGCACCGTCGCTTGGTGGAGCAGGGTTTTGATTTCTGACTCGCTGGTCTTGCCTGTCTTGTTGGTCTTCAGGAGGACCCTCACCACGTCGCCGAGTGCCGCCCCTGCACGTGGCATGTTCGGCGGGGGTGGCTCTTCGTTTGCCGCTGTTGCTCGCTGCGTTTCCGCCACTCCTTCCTCGTGCGCTTGGAGGTTGCGCAGCACGTCTTCCCATGGCAGCGGGAAGGTGAGGGCGTTGCCCCGGGCTCCGAGGCGGTGGTTGGCGTTCTGGGCTTGCTCGTCTAGGGTGGTTCCCTCGCTGCGGTGCCGTGCTTCCATGGCCATGCAGACCAGCGTGGTGACGCAGGGGCTGGCACAGATCATCTCCATGACGGTGACCTTTTCTTCGTGTAGGCGTGCTGGCGAGTAGCCGGTCCACATGTCGTTGCACAGGCTCAGGGGCGGCAGCCGGCCCTTTCGCAGCTGCTCGTCGCACTCGCTGCAAAGGGGCACTTCGCAGTGCTCGCACAGGGTGTGCTGCATCGGGTGCTGGGAGTTGGCTTGGCATCGATGGTCCTCCGGGCAGCACAGGATGTCGCCGAACCCGGGGATGGTCACCGTCCAGTCGTCGAAGTTGGCCACGTCTCTGAGCTTTGCGTCGCCGGCCAGGTCGTCGTAGTAGTCGAGGTATTTGTCGATGCTCAGCAGTTCGTGCAGTTCTGCGGTGGTCTCGGCGTGGTTGTCGTCGTTGCTGCCGGGGCTCTGGATGAGTTTGCGCCAGCTGATGCGGCTGCTGGCCGCCATGTCGGCTACGTGCGGGTGAATGCAGGCGCAGCTGAAGCAAATGAGCGATTCCACGTTGTCCTTGCTGGTGGCCTCGGCGAAGCTGCGCAGCGCGCTTCTGTCCCGCGAGCTTCCCGCGACGGGCGCGGCCTCTCTGCATCGCAGTGCGACGGCCTCGTTGTAGACGCTGGTCAAGGCGTCTTTCGGCAGGGGCCTGGGCATGTGCTGGGCCACCAACCCCAGCTCCGGTGCGTGAGAGTCCGTGACATGCTCGTGGAGCTTTTCTTCCGTCCCAGAGAGTAACGACCACGTGCATCCCTGGAATGCGCAGAAGACCTGCGGCCAGGCTTCGCCCTGGTCAACATTCTCGGCTTTGGCTTCGGGTGGTATCAGTGGCTGGGCTCGCAGGTGGGTGCTTGCGAAGCGCCTGAGCGCATCTTCCAGCTTTCGTCTGGGGTGGTAGTGGGTGGGCTCCGTTGACTCCGTTGCAACGGGCATGCTGGTCAGCTCTTCGAGGAGGCTGGGTCCTTCCTCTGCTGCTTGGGGGGGTGCTGCCTCTGGGTTCTCTGTGGCTCCTTGCGCCTGACCTTGCCGCGTGCGCTGAGCTTGGCCGGCTGCGGTTCTCTGGCGCTTGGGCGGGCGCGGCTCTGGGTGGGGTGGTGGTGGTGGTGCTGCTGCTGGTGGTGTTGGTGGTGTTGGTGGTGGTGTTGGTGGTGGTGGTAGTGGTGGTGGCGTCTGGTCAATGGGCACGAGCACATCGTAGTGGTCCTTCCCGTTGTACCAGAGGTGGATTGCGTGATAATAGACGTTCGGTACTGCGTGGGGGCGCCGTCGGGCCTCTTCGCGCACTTCCACATGTGTGCGCTCGCTCGTGCGGATCTCGCCGTCCGACGCCCGCCAGTGCACGAACGCTTGCTGCTGTCTCATGAGGGTGAAGGCGACGACGGCCGTGTCGCCGCCCCAGTTACTCGGGTTGCTTTCGAGGTGTTCGGCTTCCTCCAACCAGGCTTCCACTTGCTCTTCGTGCTCTTGGGACGCCGCGTTCTCCTTCAGGTACTGGATGATCTGGGAGCGCAGGTGGACCGCGTTCTCGCCGCTTTTCTCCGCGAGCGCGTGGAAGATGCAGTTGCCGTCGCCCGTCATCTTCTTCATGGTCAGCATGCCCTCAAAGTGCTCCTGTCGGGTGTACTGCCTGCTTATCCGTGTAGAGCCGTCGCTAGAGTGGACCTAATCATATAACGGATCCCCGAACGATGAAACTGGCCTCGATGCTGGGGCCGGGCTCCGATTCGTGGTCGGAATCCGGCCCGGCGCCTCCTCGTCGCGCAGTCGATTCTGCACGAAGTCGTCCAGCGGTGCTTCTTGCAAGCGTTGCTGGATGGCTGTTGTCGCTTGCAGTCGCCGTGGCGGTTGTTCTTTCGGCCTGCACAGCGGCACACAGTTCGAAAAGGGGTGCATGCATGCGGTTTCGAACTCTTCGGTGCGGCGCCTCTGCCCGCTGGAAAGCCTGTTCCAGCGCTTCGTCGTCATCGGCCGTCCATCGTGGCAGGCACGGCAGTCGCTTCTTTGGCGCCTGAAGGTCATGCAGCGCACGGCCGACTTTTCTCTTTCCATGTCTCGTCTCGTTATTGGTCCTTGGTTGAATTTTGGCCGTAGCGCCTTTTCTCGCCGGCGTGTTCTTTGCTTCGCGCCAGAAAACATGGACGTGCCCCGTCGAGGTGCTGCTGTTGTCGGGGAGGCTTTCCCCGCCTCGTGCGTTCGTGCCCGTGTCTTCTCTCTGCCTCTATGCGGGTCACGGCAAAAGCTTTCAGCGTGCCTCGTCGATCTTGATTGTTCCGGCCTCGGCCGTGTGGATTCGGTGCGCAGCTGCGAGATATTCATGCATGCGTCCACGGGCTGTTTGTGCGGAGGCTCTGGGGAGGGCACGGACGTCAAAAGTGTGAGGCTGCACTTCCTTGCCAGGTAGTCCTTCTTGAACGCTTCGAACTCCCAGCCGGTCGCCTCGTGGTTCGGTGCGCGGCTAAGGCCCTTAAGATTGCGCAGGCGTGGGTCGTTTGCACGTCTCTGCGTGCGCTCTCGCCTGTCCGTCGTCGTCTGTCATGTCGGCCCACCGTCGGCTGCTTTCGGGCTGCATGATGGCTTCACCTCCAGGGGCGGACGGGGCGAATCGTATTTTGCTTTATGCAGTTCCCGTCCCCACGTGCCTGGATTGCCTGAGGGTTCTCGATTGGATTTGTTGTATAGCTCGTCTGAGCACAAGATTGGCTGCGGCACACTGGTGGAAAGGCTTTCATAGCATTGGCATGTTTCATGATCTTCTGCTACCGATATAATACTGCCCTAAAGCTCCTTTGCTCTTGCTCGGTCTTTCATCCTGGTTGGTGTGAAACTGGCCGAGTCAAACACACGCACAAATAAGAGTGTTCTGGACGTCCTTCGCGGCGGTGATGGTCAGATCCTTGGCATTGTGATTTTGCTGGGGGCCGGTAATTTGATTTTGATGGAGGCTGACAAAAGGAGGCAGTCCTCGATTGCCCCGCAGGGCCAGTTGTATACCTTGGCACCGGAAGGGTATGGATGCAAGCATAAGGCGAACATGGAAATGGCTGGCGGAGAAGCTTCTGCTGCCACTCCTTCCCGCTTACTGTCGGAAGCGGCTTCGGCCTAGATAGTCGACGCGAGCTGCGGAACTTCTGCTTTTGATGCTCTTGAGCGCGAATTGGGCTGCGGTGCCAGGCTAGTCGTGCTAGTGTGCTCTCATTGCAGGCATGATGGCAGTGACGTTGGCTTGCAGCTGGTTCCAAGCAATTTTTCCGCTCGCTCCTTGCCGTCCCGTCCCAATCACTACCACCTATTTAAATGGGCCGGGGCTGTCTCGCACAAGGCAGCGGTCTTCTTGTCCAGACCGTCCAACTCAAGCCAGCCAAGATCCGATGCCGTCCCATACTTTTCCAGGTGGCTTGCGAATCCGTAGACGGGCAGGGGCTTGTTGATGCCGCGAAGGACGGAGTCGCCGCACATGGCATAGTGCAGGGCATAGTAATGGAATTGCATGCACTCGCGCCCTCCTCGTTCGTAGAGCTCGCTGCCCACTCGGCGCTGGTCCAGAAAAGCTGTTGGGCATCTCTGGCCTGCTGATTGCCACAAGGTACGGAAGGAAGGGTAGTGGAACCAGCCCAGCTTCTTGGGTGTCCAGCCCAGGTGCCTCATGAGTTGGGAGAAAGTCCGGGAATCTTCTTCGGCCGGGCCTTCGTGATCTGCCGCGTTGCGAAGCCAGGCCTTCATGGTGTTTTCTGAAGGACAAGGATGGCGTTGCACGAAAGCGGCGAGTTCTTGTTCTTCCCGAAGGACTTGGGCACGAAGCTCTGCGTCTAGCGGGAGAGGCTGACTCGGCTGCACGAAGATGCTTGGCCGTATCGGTTGCTTCGGGGATGTTGGCGGAGTGGGCATTGAAAAGCTTTCTTCGTCGCTGCTGCTGTCGAGATGGTCCCATCTGGTGTAATCGATTGCCGCCATCCTGCTACACAGCAAAACGCCCTGGTCTCGAAGGGCCTTACCTGCTTGATTCTCAAACCTTGGGCTGCAGCACGCATGGGCAGCTCAATCCCTTGGCCTCTGGACTCAATCCAGAATTTTCACAAGCGCATGGACTAACGAGCACAGCGGCGCAGTACACTCCATTATTGCCCGGCTCGGGAAAAGGTCGCGATGTAGCCGTAGCCGTTCTGTGAAACTGATTTTGGCTGCGGCTCTCACCGCCTGTGGCTGATTCAGGATCACTTCGGGCCCTGCAAGCAAGCTAGACTTCGTGATACAGCTCAGCCGAGTTGCGTGTCATGGGAAAGGACCACGGTGACCAGTTGCCCGTCTAACGCCGTGCACACTGCTTGGTTGCGGCTCCGCAGACGGCCTTGGGCTGCAGCTGCTAGGGCAGCGGATGTAGCAAGCTCTTTCATTTCCGGGTTTGACATGCCGGTGATTCGCAGCAGCTCCCCGCCGGCCACCGTGGTGAACACTGCGTCAACAGCATCTTGCGGGACAGGCGTCAAGCTGCAGGTGACGACCAAGGGTGAGGGCACTTCACGGACGTAGACCTCGCCGGCGGGATAATTGATCCAAGCATCATGGTCCAGCTCTTCAGCTTCGAACACAGCAACCTTGGCATCTGCTGGATGCCATCGGACGAATCGGCAGTGCAGCCTCTCCACGGGATCGGTGGAAAAGAAGAGCAGATGCCATCGAGGAGCTGCTTCAGTGGTAAAGGCCGCGCCGTCCGAGTCAATCAATGACCACGAGCCAGGACCGCCTTCCAAACACCGGCTCCACTCCAGACGGCGGCCGTCCATCTTGTGGGTGCTTTGAAGGAAAGGAAATGCAAACTTTGAAGCTGCAAGATACTGCTGCGGAACACAGGATGCAATGCTCAAGCAGCATCTGCAAGACTGGAAGCTACATGCTTCGACCTCCACACCTAGAAATACTCGTGAACGATGCTCGGGCCGAGCGTGTTTTCACACCTGCGGTTGTTGCCTTCCTTGTGAAACATCCCCAGCTGTATTTTGGCTGAAATACGGTATGTCTCTACCTGGAACAAAGAGGGAGCTTGCCAAATGGATTTCCTTCATAAAATGGACGGGAATAAAGATTGCCAGGTGGTTCGCGGGCTCCCAAGCCGGTTTCCTTCATAAACTGGACGGTGCGTACCTTGGCGTCCAGATCAGATGATTGCTAGCACATTGGAAGCCTAGCATGGACAGATGTGGACATGCACGTGTTTAATTACAGCCGAGTCGCTTGCACCAAAAATCAGTCCTTGGCTTGGACATGTTCAGTGAATGCATGCGTGGGAAGTATGAGAGTGTGAAGGTCTTCGAAGGCACCCCTCAGCGTACTTAGTACTGGGATGGCCTTATTTTAGGCGCCTTATAAGAGAATGTCCCGCAGCACACGCTCCCTGCTTCCCCGATGTTTCTGGTCGGATTGAAACATCCTTCGCCCATATGTGTTCACCGATTGGAGATAGATCGGATCCCCGGTAGTAACGCACACCCGCGAGCGAGTACACGCGTTCCCGTTGACAGGCTCAATGGGAAGCCCCCTTGGCCCTTGGCACTGAGGAAAACAAACCGATCCTCGCGCAAAGCGCGTCCGTGGCACACATCCCAAAAGTATGCCCGCGGCCTCCTTTTGGAATGCTCAAGGAAGGCACCTCGGCTCTTTTTAGGTATTTGGAGGCCGCTTCGCTAGTGAACTGGCGCGTACAGCAGTCGCTGTAGTTCAACGCCATTACTAGCTTCCAAAAGACAGCTGGCATGCCCCCCTTGGGGTGCGAGCGGAGGGTCCAAAAGCGCATTGTGTGTACGCGCGGGGGTCGGGGAAATCCTGGTCCCCGGGCGGTCGTAGATTGACGGTGGGTGTCAATTTTGCCCGGCTTCAAGACTGCTTAAAGCCCTTTGAAATAACTTCGGAAGCCACTTAGAACGTTTTAAAACCACTCTGAGCCTTTAAAAACCTCTCAAAACCTGCAAAAACTTGCAACCAGGCCCCCCACAACGCCAAAGTGACAATCTCCAGGCCCCAAAGTGACAATCTCCAGGCCCCAAAGTGACAATCGCCAGGCCCCAGGTGACAATCTCCAGGCCCCAAAGTGACAATCCCCAGACCCCGAGTGACAATCTCCAGGCCCCAAAGTGACAATCGCCAGGCCCCAGGTGACAATCTCCAGGCCCCAAAGTGACAATCGCCAGGCCCCGAGTGACAATCTCCAGGCCCCAAAGGGGTGGCCATCTTAGGGGGTCTAGATTGTCAGAAGGCGGCAATCGTAGGGGGGTACAGATTGCCAACAGGTGGCAATCACAGGGGATCTAGATTGTCAGCAGGTGGCAATCTTAGGGGGGTACAGATTGCCAACAGGTGGCAATCTTAAGGGGGTACAGATTGCCAAGAAGTGGCAATCACAGGGTATCTAGATTGTCAGCAGGTGGCAATCTTAGGGGGGTACAGATTGCCAACAGGTGGCAATCTTAAGGGGGTACAGATTGCCAATAGGTGGCAATCGGGGTGGGGGTTGGTGGAAAGGGGGCGGATGGCTGTCACACTCCCTTGCTGGCCGGTTGCCCCTTTGGATTGTCAGCAGGTGGCAATCTTAAGGGGGTATAGATTGCCAATAGGTGGCAATCCTGGTGGGGGTTGGTGGAAAGGGGGCGGATGGCTGTCACACTCCCTTGCTGGCCGGTTGCCCCTTTGGATTGTCAGCAGGTGGAAATCTTCAGGGCTTCAGATTGTCAGCTGGTGGCAATCTGGGTGGAGCTTGGTGGAAAGGGGGCGGATGGCTGTCACACTCCCTTGCTGGCCGTTTGCCCCTTTGTATTGTCAGTAGCTCTGGACCCTCCCGGCGGATGGCTGTCACACTCCCTTGCCAGATTGACAGCAGGTGTCAATCGTGAGAGGTCCGGTGGGGGAAGGGGCCGGTTGTTGGCTTCTTGTTTCAAGGATGTTGGGCACGACAACCAGGACTAACAAAATGGGTTTTTTTTTTTCTGCACTGGTTCTTGGCTTTTTGTTTTAAGGATGTTGAGCACGACAACGAGGACTAACAAAATGGGGCTTTTTTTCTGCACTGGTTCTTGGCTTCTTGTTTTAAGAATGTTGAGCACGACAACTAGGACTAACACAATGGGGGTTTTTTTCTGCACTGGTTCTTGACTTCTTGTTTCAAGGATGTTGAGCACAACAACAAGGGTTAACAAAATGGTGTGTTTTTGTTCTGCACTGTTTGCTGGCATCTTGGTGCTTCCCAACGGTGTGGCAAATACAATTTCTGGTTCTTGGTGGCTCTTTCTGGCCCACTCTTGGCCGTAACAAATCGTACTGCTGGGTCTTGGTGGCTCTTTCTGGCCCACTCTTGGCCGTAACAAATCGTACTGCCGGGTCTTGGTGGCTCTTTCTGGCCCACTCTTTGCCGCATCAAATCGTACTGCCGGATCTTGGTGGCTCATTCTGGCCCACTCTTGGCCGTAACAAATCGTACTGCCGGGTCTTGGTGGCTCTTTCTGGCCCACTCTTGGCCGCATCAAATCGTACTGCCGGATCTTGGTGGCTCTTTCTGGCCCACTCTTGGCCGCAACAAATCGTACTGCCGGTTCTTGGTGGCTCTTTCTGTCCCACTCTTGTCCGTAACAAATCGTACTGCCGGGTCTTGGTGGCTCTTTCTGGCCCACTCTTGGACGTAACAAATCGTACTGCCGGGTCTTGGTGGCTCTTTCTGGCCCACTCTTGGCCGTAACAAATCGTACTGCCGGGTCTTGGTGGCTCTTTCTGGCCCACTCTTGGCCGCATCAAATCGTACTGCCGGATCTTGGTGGCTCTTTCTGGCCCACTCTTGGCCGTAACAAATCGTACTGCCGGGTCTTGGTGGCTCCCTGAAGCCCCAATAAGGGAAACAATTCTGCCAGAGAATTTGGTTCCTAACGCCCCAATAAGCGAAACAATTCTGCAAGAGTTTTTCATTCCAAAAGCTCCAATAAGCGAAGCAATTCTGCCAGAGATTTTCTTTACTAGCGCCCCAATAAGCGAAACAATTCTGCAAGAGGTTTTCCTTCCTAACGCCCCAATAATCGAAACAATTCTCCAAGAGGTTTTCATTCCCAAAGCCCCAATAAGCGAGGCAATTCTGCCAGACTAACCCTTGAAAACTCCCTGAAAGGCTTGTGCGGACTCGAGGTTTGCGTCTAGAGTCTAGATGCAGTCTGGAGGCGGCTCTCGCCTCATCTGACCGCGCCTTGGCTTCGGCAGGGAAATTGATGCAAGCATGACGCAAGCATGACGCAAGCACGCTCTAGACGTGGACATGTTTGATTGCAGCCGAGTTGCGACCACCAGAGCAATGCCTGGGCGAGCACATGTTGAGTTAACATATATGTTGATGATGGCCGTGGACATGCCCGTGTTTAATTGCAGCCGAGTCGCTTGCACCAAAAATCAGTCCTTGGCTTGGACATGTTCACTGAATGCATGCGTGGGAAGTATGAGAGTGTGAAGGTCTTCGAAGGCACCCCCCAGCGTACTTAGTACTGGGATGGCCTTATTTT